GCACAGTGCCTGACACAATGAAGGTAGTTAGTTAATTACTGACTGGTGATTAGTATGGAACAGGAGAGGGTAATCTTGACATCACCATTCCTGCTATTATCATGTATTATTCAAATAGCAAATGACTGGAATGAATTTTTGCAGAAGTGCTTAAATTACACATATCATCTCAGCAGTAATCTAAAGAAAGAAGTATAGATATTGAACAATTTGGGGGAGGGTGTAGGACACTGTTGGGAAGACTTGGAGGGATTTTGAAACATTGTTTTAATGACAACCTGTGGTTTAATTCTTTTCTGATGGGGAGCTTATGGAAGAGTTAAAAGTTTTATTTGTCTCTATATCCTTTTATGAGCTTCTGTAAGTTCTTTGAATCTTCTGTATTTTTGGTGTAATGATATAAAGGCTCTCTTCTACCCTTACACATTCCTTGAGTACTTGATTGGGAACTTGAGATCATGTAACCTACATTTGGGTCAGCCTATCACAGTCTATACCTAAACTATATCTGGAGATTTTCCTGGAATATTTCCTAGTAGTGGCAATTAACTAAAAAGAAAAACATTACCCTTCTGAAGTCTGTCCCAAGGATTGGATAAAGTCCATGTGGTTCTAGTGGGTTATATCTAAATACCTTTTTAAGAAAATATTAAAGATTTTGATGTAAGTGAACTTGTTTCTTGGGATTCAACTACTGAGGGCCTGTTCATCTGCCATGAAGAATAAAAAAAGACCAGAAAACTCTAAAAAGAAAGTTGATGATAAAACAGGGCTCCCTCCTCTTAGCAAAAAGGTGATGGATTAGACTCTCTTTGAATTTAAAATGTCTGTGTTTGTTGATGTTTGTTATGTTCATAACAATAACAATAACATTTTAAAAGTGAACTAATCAAGTAAGACATTCTTGCACCATTTACAAATGTTCTTCATCCTCCCTTGCATAGCCCAACACCTTGTCCATTGTAGGCACTTAGGGAATGCTTGTTGCTTGATTAATTGAGTTGGATGAAGACCCCCTAGTCAAGTGCCGGCTCCCTCTTTTGCTAACAAGTCTGTCAAAATAGCATTTCATTTCGTTGGTGCTATTTTTGATGTAAAATTGAGCTAATTGCAATGAAGCCTATACAAGATGAAGACTCCTGATTAGCCCCAGGGGAGGAAAGTTTACCTGCTTTTGTTTTCTGTGGACTTTAATTCTGTCTAACCCACGACCTAGATATGGATATGGAATCAGAGAAGCTTGATTTGACTGTTATCTCTGCCACTGCCTAGTTTGATAGGCTAATTCAACTGTCTGTGTCACAGAGATTTATGTGGGCATGGAGGAAACTGCCAGAAGGAATAAAGAAAGTAATACTAACTGCTACAAAGTTTGGACAAGAAGCTGGAAACCATAGTGTCACAGGTGTGTTTTCCTCACTGTTTCTTTAACTGCATTCCTGAAGGCAGGGGATACTGAAGAGAATAAAAATGGTGGTGGGGGAGGTGTGTTAATAAAGGAACAACTGGCTAAAGAGGTAGTATATGAGCTAGTATGAGCCAGCTTCAACACACCACTGTATCATTCCTATGTGATTGCTTTGGGCAGATCCTATCTGGACTACCATGCTTAGTTCTTGGTATCACAGTTTACAAAGGACATTGATTAAACTTGAAAACATTCAGAAAAAGACAACCAGATGGTGTAGGGCTTTGTTATATGAAGACCACTTGAATGTAGCAGGAATGTATAATTCTCCCTTGCTGAAAGTCTCTAGCTAGTGGCTTGAGGACCACCTCCTATATATGTTATGGTAGGGATTATTTTCAGGTATAGGTTAGAACAGGTGTCGCTGTGGCTTTTTCCAACGCTAAAATTTTGTGATTATGTGCTTTGTTCTAATTTTCACAAAATCCCAACATAAAGACCTAAGGCCATCTAGTGAAACGTGTAACTGGACAGGACAGGTCATTCAGCTTCTGTTTGAAACTCTGTAATGAGGATAAATCTCTTTCCTCTCAAGGTAGTACAGTTCAGTTTTAGACAGTTCTATTATAATTTTTATTGAGTTTGGAGAACAACAAAGGATGAACTCATGAAACAAAATCTGGAAGGCATAAAATTATTTTGCTATAGCTGGGCATCTGAGTGAAAAAAGAGAAAGGCGAACCAGAACATCTAGTTTCATCTTCTTACATTGATCAATTTGTGCCACCCTAAATCAGTTAATCCATGATGCGCTTATTAGAACAAAACAAGAGCTTCCTGCATTTCTACTGTTGCTCAATTTCTCTCATTTCTTTTTTTTTTCTTCCTCAAAGCCTATGCTGAGTCACTTAATTACCTAGTGGAAAAGCCATTTGGTGGTGTTGGAACTGCTAACAAAGGAAGATTTTCTGGTAGGTCAAGCAGTTGTTGAATTGGACAGTTTCAATAATAGCCTAAGTGACACGTTCATTGTGTTTACGAATGACACAAAAATACTTAGTAGGGATGTGATCTTGAGCAAGTCCCTTTATGTTCCTAGTCTCCAGTTTCTTCTTATGTCAAATGAGGGATATTTATCACAGCCCTAAGCTATTTCATATCACTAGCATTGTGTGATTATGATTGTAGAACATGACATTATCCTTGAAGAGGCACCTACTCTTCTGTGGAATATAGGATTTCAGAAATTTACCAATAAAGATAAACTTAGCAAGCATCTATGTGAATTATTCCCTTTCACAGATGATACTACTGAATGAATCCCACATATGTGAAATTATTTTCCCAGCATGACATAGAGAGTAACACAGGCAGCTGGGACCAGAGCTAAGGTGTTCTGACTCAATGCAAGGTGTTCGTTCTCCTTTGCCATGATTTCCAGTGACAAAGAAGAAGCTGTATTGTTTAAGAATCCATATTAATGTAGTAGGACTATTCCAACAAAAGACTTTAACTTCTATAGACTCCTCAATGGAATATCAGAATGTGTTAACACAATCCTAACACAATCCCTATTGTAATCTTTGTTTCTTTTATCACAATTTTGTACCAGCTATTCACCACATAAAGCTTTGTGTATATTTATAATTCTACATATGGGCATATATGTATACATGTGTATTTATATATCCTCATATTCTGTGCATGTGTTCATTAATATACAGTATATAAATACATGGATATAATATACATAACATCCAGTATACAGTGTGTGCATATGTTGCTCATACAATATATATATCATCAATCTATATATATATATGAGTGTGGATATAATAGTGTCTAACTGATACATCAAATAGCAAGTATATGCATATGTGTACATATATATGTGTGTGCATATATACACATATATGCATACTATGTATGTGATTATACACATACATATATAAAGATGTTTATGGCAAAATGCAAATGAACTTATAAATTGCAGAAAGAAGAGAGCAGAATGTATTGACCTTGGGAAATTGAAAAGTTATTTTGATGACTACAAGTTTCTTACCTAGACAAAGGTCTATCTTTTTAATAATCATACTCCTCCAAAATTGTTGTGTCTTTGAATCACAGAATGCTATAGTCTCCAAAGAATTGAAATTAAGTATCACCAAAAAGACAATGTGGAAAGGCTTAAGTTATAGTGAGCAGGCTGGAGCACATTACAAAGAATTATGAAGGATTGGTGTAAAGGATATCATCATGGAAATATGTAAGCAGAAAAGATGGCTAGTGCCACAAGAAGTGGGATGACAGTGGGCATATAATATACTCCATTGATATCCTCCCAATTAAAAAAAAGTGCAATCACCATTATATTGGTTGGACTATCTGTAATGAATTTATCAGAAGACATGGATGCATATTACAAAATGCGCTAGTATGAATGGCTTGTGCTTTGTATCACTGATGGGAATATCCACATGATGAGGCCAAAGATGGTTTGGACTATTACTGTTGACAATGTGTCTGTATCTGTTTCTATTGAGTTGTTTTCAGATAAAGAAACTGAGATTCAGTAGGTCAACTGACCTACTGAATAGCCTGCATAGCTGGAAAATGGGAAAGTCATACCATAAGCCCAAATTCTATGCTCTTTCTACCATACTGTCATGTCTCCATAAAGGGCTGTCATGTTATCCCAAGGAAAATGATGATGTGTGCCTCTTTATGTTTTCCTGTGGCTAACAATGCCTTCTGTTATTAAAAAAAAAATCTTAGTACTTTTTAGGCTTTATTTCTTGTTAAGATGAAAGTATCTATTCCTTTAGTTATTTTACTGATGCAAGATTACTCCCAGTACATAGAATTAATCTAGAAAGTGATGAGAATGATGATATGTGCCAAGTGTATATGCTTCTTGAGGGGCAGGTGCCGTTTCATTTTGCCTTTTCATTTCTAAGACCTAGTATAGGACTTGGCACTGTGACCTCTGCCCTTTGGTTGAAATGCTAGAAATTAATGGTCATAACTAACTTTTAGTCAGACATTGCTGAACAATGAGATTTCTGAAGTCAAACAGAGTTTTAAAGGTATATTATTTTTAATAGCAGAAGGCATTGTTAGAATGGGGTCAGGCAGGATGCTGTTGGAGGGGAGGGGACACCTCACAATTAACTAATTAAACATGTGATGCTACAACCACATAGAAGTAAATTACCTCTAGGTTATTCATTCAAAAAGCTGCAATCCTTTTAAAATATGAACCAAAGTTATAAGCTTTTGTAGAATGAAATTTAAAAGGACTATTGAAATATACATGTGTATATGTGTATGTGTATATGCATATATATGTGTGTATATGTATATTTCCATAGATTTTCCATACTGTGATTTAGAGTTTATTAATTCATTTTCTTCATACTTGACAAACAAGTATCAGAGATCATGACATATAGGTCTATATGTGAGTGTATAAAAAAAGTTCGAATGTGCATAATTATAACAGCATTTATACTAGCTGAAAAAATAGCCCATTTGAGACATTTCTTTTTTCTTTTCTTTTTTTTATTCTGAAAGCTTAGTGAAATAACATGGTATCACAGTTTGAGGGGAAAGTTTTCATTTCACTATAATTTAACATTTAACAAATCTAGTCATTTTTGATTTTTAGCAAAGTAATTATAAAAATAATTTTATATTTATAAAATAAATCAACATTTCACAATAAATTATTCATTTTCATTATATGAAAAGTTTTCACTGTATAAAATAGATAACATCATTTATTTATAAATTGAAAATATCCTGAAACTTTTAATGTGCCTATGCCTAGTCTTCTTATTTTGGCAGTTCAATATATAAAAATATTTTATCATATATATTCCCTGATGAGATTGAATCATGAAAACCCAATCTTATAAGCTCAATAGTGTAGGGCTGCTTGGTAAATTTATCTGGGTATGTTTATATAATATACTAAATTTTTTTCTATATTATATATTTAAGTCACATTCCAACATGTCTAAAAAAGAGAACAGTATAAAAAAGAATCAAAAGTTAACAAAAAGGCAAAGCCGTCTTCATAAATCAGAGAATCCTTACACATATAAAAAGGAAACACTCTAAAAACAAATATCCAAAAGTTACAAGCTCAGATAATTTTTTTCTTCTTACTCTTACAGGTATATTTAGCAATCCACAAAGGATGGCATCTTATTTAAAGGCATTTTGTGGATTTCTATGAAATCACTCTGAGTTTTTAAGGTTTCTATTTTCTAAAACTTAATTCCACTTGAAGAGCCAGTGAATTAGCTGACATTTTAATGAAGCCATTCAGGGAATCATAGCATTGGAATGGCCAGAGTTCCTTCTGTAATCTTCATGCTAATCTAAACTGGGCTTGAAAATTGAAAGGTAGAAAACTGTTTCTGGGGTCAACCCAATAATGTCTTCTTACTCTTTGTTGTGGTCATGATAATGACTCAATGTTAATAATTACTAAGTGCATAACATAAACATTTTGAATTGTCCCTATTAAAGGGCAAGGATACTATTTTTTTTTTTAGATAAGAGAAAAGCATAATCAGTTACCTCTGGAAACCGCACTATGCCTTGGTATGATAGGTGTGTGATTCACTTAGGCTCCTTGCCATGTGCTATTTGAAAATCTACTGGATTGAATGGGTTTCTCTTTTAAAATTTCTCCAAATCACTGCAGATGTTTCCTTCTTTTACTTTCCTTAGAAATTTAAGTTTTTTTTCTATAGAGAAGTGTGTTTTTAAAAAATGTGTGTTAAAAACGTACAAATAAATGCTATGGCTCATTCATTTATCAGTGAACACACATACACACACGTGCACACATATATACATATACAGAGCAGCTCAAGTATTGCATGTTCCCACGCTTCTTTGAACTTTTTTAAGTGAATGAATTATGCTTCTTGATTTCTCCAAACAAGTTAAACCTAGCAGAAGATGTTTTTGGATCAAATACATGGAACTGTTAAGTCAAACAATGACTACAAGTTATATTTTTTAAATGACATTGGCTCCATTATACAATAACTACTTTATTTACTAATCTACAAGTTTATAATTTATGAAGCTTTGGTTCATGTTTTAACTGAGGCTTTCTAGTCGACTATTCACAGCAAAAAAGTACACTTAGTTCTGCATCTTGTCTCTATGAAGAAATTATTTACAGATTTAAGAGAATATTAAGAAGATATCTTCAAGTGGTATATCAGATTTAACTAGTTCCAAAACTGTGCGAGGGCTGAGAGAAAATATAAACGACTAAGAACAAGTTATAACATTATATCCAAACTCAGAGTTGTATTATTACTTTGTGTCTTAAAGCTTTCAAAGATTTTTTTAAAAAATAGATAATAGGAAACCCTCTTAAAACAGCACCATAATTCTTTGGCCAAGGGTTAGCCTTAATCACTATTCTGAGATATTTCTAATATCACCTTTATTCACATTTAAGCAGTGCATGTTAAAAAAAAATTAAAATGCAACATTTATTATCACAATTGCTTTTGTTTGGGAATAGACTGATGTGAAATGACTGAAGCCTGGTTTGTGGGCATTTTGTACTGCTCTTGTCCAGAGCCTTGAGGTGGGGAAGGTAGTGGGGTTTCCGGAGTTGCTGTAAAAGAAATTAAAAAATTGTTCAAGAAAACTAATTGGGAATATCGATAACATTTTGAGAACATATCATAACATTGCACATTGTCCAGGACTATCTCAACATATGGTATTTTATGTGGTAAAAGTACCTGGAAAGATTTTACATAATGTGGAAATTTGAAAAATGAAAGTTATTTGTCTTTTGCTTCTATTAAACTTTTAGGGATAAATAGCTCCATAAAAGTTCTAACATCAAAATAAAAGTCATATTATGAATCTTAGCATTCACATTCTTTATAACATAAATGTTCATTTAATTCTCTGAGTACCTCACGTAGAAAAAGCTTATCATATGAACAATCATGAAATCATAGAAGCCTACAGTCTTAAACAAACAGCTACTATCTTTGCATTAATTAAAAAATTCATATAATAAAACATTATTAATTTAGATTCTACTTATTCAGAATTTTTAAGAGTTCAGACATGAAGTGTGCTTGCTTTGTAAGCTGACAATGCAGATAAAAAATGACCAGCCTACAAAAAGGTTAATAAATATAGTAAGTCACATTTTTATACTGCTTGAATATTTGCAATGTATTTCCTCACAACCCACTAGTTAAGTAGTACAAGTTCTATTACCCTGATTTTATAGACGAGGAAACTGAGCCTTTGAAAGTTTAAATGACTTATCTAGTCACACAATTGTTGAGTGTCTGAGGCAAAATTTAAACCCAGCTTTCCTAATTAAAAGCCCCTATCTCATTCTACTAGTTATTTAGCCATTTTAGCCCTGTCCAACTATCTGTGACTCTATTTGAGGTTGTCTTGGCAAAGATACTGCAGTAGTTTGCAATTTTCTTCTCCAGCTCATTTTACAGAGGGGGAAACTGAGGCAAAGAGGGTTAACTGATTTGCCCAGGGTCACACAGGTAGTAAGTATATGAGGCCATATTTTATCTCAGGTCTGCACCTTTCTACTACACCGTACAGCTTTTCAGGCCCCAGGAAGCCATTTTGTATAAAAAATCTTCAGCTAAGCCACAAATGATTCATATCCATTTATTAAAAACATTTTGAAAAATGACATTATTCCTTTTTTTCTTTCTGGAATAAAAGTATGTTCTTCTAAAACATTTTATAACTGATTTTTCCATTGTATGACATTCTCTCTAATTAAGATGAATTAAGAGAGACTTTATTCTAAAACTAAATTATTGTAACTTATAATGAATCCCCCCTAGTTATTTGTTGTTACTAATGATAGGAGACAGAAGGTATAGACTCTATCACCTTGACTAGGCCACTACTCAAAAGAGAGCAGAACTTAGGAGAGAGGGAGAGAGAGAGAGAGAGAGAGAGAGAGAGAGAGAGAGAGAGAGAGAGCATGGGCTCTGGAGTGAGACAACCTGCCTCTGCTCCCTTATTCCTAATTGAGTGTGACTGTGGAAAGTCCTTTCAACATTTCTGCCCTCGTCTGTAAAATCAGTAGGTCATGCTAGATGATGTTGAAAGTCTCCAACGCAAGATGCTAAGAAATGAATTTAGAATCTGGGGGGAAAAATGTAGCTTGATGCTTTGTCGACAAAGACAGAAGTAGTAAAATCAGTTAATAATTTGCTATTGTGTGCTACTAAAAAAGAAAAAAAAGCAGAAGGTGCTCATTCTTTAACAAAGTCTGACTTCTTTGTTAACCTTAGTAAATGAATTCCCTATTATTTTTAAGTGTGCCATCATTGGCTATTAAAAAACTATAGGGACAGCTAGATGGCACAGTGGATAGAGCACCAGCCCTGGAGTTAGGAGGACCTGAGTTCAAATCCAGCCTCAGAAACATGACACTAGCTGTGTGACCCTGGGCAAGTCACTTAACCCCAATTCCCTCACCAAAAAAACAAACAAACAAAAAACTATAGCTAATATGTTAGAGGTCTTATTTTGCCTTCTGGCTATTATCTATGGATTTATGACTTTGGGGGCAATATGATGTCTAATGGAGTCCTGGACAATGTGTATGTGTATGAGATTTAGATGTTTTAAATTAAATCACTTTCTTAATTTGTTAAATGCACAAAACCAAAAATATTACAAGTGAACAAATATGATATAAAGTGATCTCATTAAATACTAGTTCTTAAGAAAAATAAAAGAAAGGGAGAGGTTGGTGAGGCTTAAATGTTTATTCTAAAACTTAATTATTGTAACTTACAGTTTTCAGAAAGTGGAAGACTAATTTTTTTAATTATAAGGAAAATATAGATTCTCTAGCTAATAGTAGGATAAACTGGTGATGTTAGTTGTTATTTTTGATGCTTGTGAGTGTGTTAGCATGATTTGTTTTCAAAGTTTATGAATAACTCAAATCACTCAGGAATATCATTGCCATAGACTCCTATGTGGCCTTGGGCTAGTTAGAGAAATTCTCCTTCTCAGTTGTGCTGGACACAAAATACAGAAACTAATATATTCCTTGGAGGGATAAAACAAAATTAATGTTTCTAAGTTACTCTAAAGACCTACTGATGTCATATACTTTCTAAAATTGTTATCTTTTAGGAATTGTGATTAAATCATATTGAAATTGACTACTTAGTACCATGAGTTTATAAGTAATAGCATTTATATTAATGGAAACATTAAAATAAAACCATTTATGTGAGTGAAGTAGTTTGACATACAGGTTGGATGTTTTAAGGAATTTGGGATTAGTCATATCTTGGCACTGATTCAGAAAAGGATGCTTCTTATGATGTTCATCATAAAATTAGAAGATTGCTATCCCATCAAGAGATTAGTGTAATGCAACTGGTTCCTGTGGCTTTCCAGAGATATGTGTTCAGATCAGATGAAAATATGCAATAATGAATTGTTGTATTGGTTGGGTACTTTTAGCTTCAAAGTATTTTCATATTATCTTATTTTATTCTCACAACAAACATGTCAGTTAGAAAAGGGTTGGTTGCCTCACTGTCATCTTTTAATAGGTAAATTCAGATTTAAGGAGGTTAACTGACTTGCTGGATGACCCACTGCCAGTAGGTCCTTAAACAGAGATCAGAAAGCAAGTTTGTTTCTTTTTTTTTCTTCTAGCCTGGGCTCTTTTCACCAAATGCAAAGGATTAGGAGATCAAAAGCTTAAGAGATACCATGATGGAAAATTCACTTATGACTTACAGATCTGTTCTGTACGCACTGGAGTTGACATAGAGCTAATAAGTATAGTTTGCCCGGTTAATGGATCCTGGGATAAATGAGGATGCACAGGATGATGAAGATGGCTAGTATCATTAGAAGCACCTAAAAATATAATTAACATGCTAGTGTTAGTGATATTTGTGAATAGCAAGCTCACTTCAGACCAAATATTCTTATTGGAATCTCAGATATTGCTGTTCTTACAAATGGCCTTTTGGGAATTCAATAATAAATTAACGGGAACACTACCATTTTAAGTACAATGCCTGCTTCCACTGAACACTGCTTAAATTAATATTGTATTTTATAATGCTTTACATTAATAAAGGGCCTTGTGTATCTCTTCCAGGAATCATTATGGAGCTTGCTTGCCATTAAGGGAATTCTAAGAACTACTAATCTCTGGTTAGTAACATTTGACATAATCCTAATATCAAGAGTGCTTTATATTTTAGAAGAAGGGCCTAGGATATGCCATAAACATCACATAAAGTTAAGCAGAAAATAATACAAGGGGGGAAGGAATTTTTACAGTGAATTTAATCTAGATCAAAATAATGAATTTTTTAAATGGTCTTAACTAACTCCTTGCATTAAATCTATTGATGGAATATATGATTTATTTTTCTCTTTCACTGCTTGCTTAATAATTCATGTTACTCATTGAATTGTTTTAAAGGGTATTTATAATAAATTATTATAAGACATTGCAATTTCAATGTCTTTAATGCTGTAAATTAGCAGGGCAGAGATCCAAAAGAAAAACTATAACATTCTTGGTGGTAGTGCAAAAGAAATAGTTAATCACATTGACCATGTTTTGAAGGTTGTGTCTACTGTGAAAAGAGTCCATGTGGAGCAAAGGTGACATAACTAGTGTTCACATGAATATAGTTAAAATATCTTTGTCCCTAAACAATCACAAAGCTTTCTTCAAACCATATAAAAATTAAATTCCATATCTTATAGCAGAAGGGAAGAAAAAGCACTCATAGAGACTTTAAAGAGCAAAATAAATATTGTCAAAAGATAAAGAAAGCAAACTAATTCCTAAGTACTTAATACAGTGTTAATGAGTGCCATAGAAATTCTTATGTTTAAAATATGTTTACCTCCTAGTAACATTTCCTGAAGTAAATTGTCAATTTTAACCATCCCGAACAATTTGACAAATTGTATTTGCTCAATCATTTGCCAAGTGATGCTCTGCAGTGTAGGCAGGAGCAAAAGCAATTCACCAAACCTTCCCCTGGAATCATATTGTCTGTCATTGATGTAGTCCTCTAAACTGATCTGGACTTGGAATCGCATATTTTTTATTTTCACTGGGTCACTTAATCCTTTTGCATCTGAAAAAAGAAAAGGAAAGAAATTGACAAGCTGGAATTGTACAAAGAAAGTCAATATGGCAAAGTACATAGGGTGCTGAACTTTGAACCAGGAAGACCTGGGTTAAAATCTTGCTTCTGACACTCAGTAGCTGGGGGTCCTTGGCCAAACAAGTTGACTTCACTGAACCTCAGTCTTCTTCTGTGTATAATAAAAGGATTGAAGTTAATGGCCACTTAGATCCCTTCTAGCTTTAAATCTATTATGATATGATATTTAGCATTTGGGTTGAGGGGAAGCAAAGAATATTGTATCACACTAGAGTCAATTCAATAAATTATTTCATTGTGATTTTCTTTTGAAAAGCACTTCTGAAAACAAACCTGGATCAAAAAATACAATTGCCTTCAGACAAGCATATTCATTGTCATCGATCTGAATTTCCTGAAATGGGCGGACTAGTTCATCGAGAACGCGATTGGCCACACGACTGATCTCCACCTCACAGCTGTTCCGATGAATGATGTAGTTGTTACCTAGGGGGAGAGCATATTAGAAATAATATATTATCATCAAGTATTTTCTTTTTTGTAAATCCAAAGTACATTTAAAATGGTTAAACTTTGGAAGATTCCAGCAAACGCTGCCAACTACTAGCGTACACACACACATAAAAAAAAGTTCAGGTAAAAAATATTCAAAAACTCATAATGGATCAATAATATTTATAATGTGATCACATGTATTTGAATAGCTTCAGTTACTGGTGATAGCACTGGAGAGCAGGCTAATAAAGAGCTAAGAATCTGCAAAGGAAAGCAAAACATAATGATTAACTTTCAGTTCTGCCAGTCATCCTTCAGTGTCCGAGTCATTAATAAAGAATATATAAAAGCTAAAAAGCCCTTAGAGGTTACATTGAAGGAAAATAAAAGCTGAGACTGCTTTGGGTGCTACATGTGCTTCCAAACAATCGCTATTGCATGACAGTCCTCAGAAGCAGAGGAAAATGGTTTTAACTTTCAAAGATTAACACAATTCTCAGCATAGTTAAATTGAATACTCCTTGTGTACCTTTTAATTCTCCCATTCTGTAACTACAAGTGATGGATTAAATTATGTAATAAACAGTGGACTGTTAATATCAGGTAATCATTTATTAATGAAATGTGAAGAAATGGAGGTCATCATCTATATGAAATAAATCTTAATAGGAGGATATATGCAAAGTCATGTATAAACCTTAAAACATTATAGAAATGTTAGCTGTTCCTAGTAGTGGTATCAATTGCTCAGGTACCGATACAAAGGTGATATTCATATTTCCTTTTCTGTCTGCTGTGAAAAATCACTTACCTAAAAATGCCAGGGTTAAGCAGCTTACAAAGGTTTAGTGACAATTCCTCCCCACCCCAACAGTATAGTTAGCTCCACGATGTTGGATTTTGTTGATATCCAATATTGATATTAATGTTTAACAACTGGCTTTCCAAAAATGCACACCCACTTTTAAGTTTAATCTTTACTATTAACATGTCCTCTTCATCACTTTCTTAAGTTGAGACAATCAACAGAATGAATCGAGCCCTGATTTGTAGTGTTTGCCAATTTTTGTGGTATAAATGCTCACACTGAACATTTAACAATCAGGTTCCATGAGGTAGTATGAGCTGGATCTAGCATACCTCTGCAGTACTAAGCTTGCCTTTATATTTGGTGACTCAGTCATAACTAATGACATACTAAAGACATTGCACAAATGCCAGTGGGGAGAGTTAGGCAAACAAGTATATCATCCTTAGAAAAGTCTTCAACAGTTTTACTGACGAGCCTCCTTTGTAGGTCAAAGCATCATGGATACATTGAGGAAATTATTTTCACAATGCTGACAAAAGCTATTTATTTCTCTAGCATGTATTACTGCTGGATGGTAAATAGTAATACTTTCTTCTCCTTTTCTATTTAAAAATGAACCCGTGGGTCTGATCATCTCTAATGTGACTGTTTTTTTTTCCTTTGGATTGAAACAGATCATTTTGATGATTGAAATTGGAGGTGATGACCATGTACCTTGCACATGTTTTTAGGATAATAGAATCATAGATTTGGAACTGAAAGGGACCTTGGAGGTATCTAAATACTTCATATCACTGATAAGGAAACTGAGGCCCAGAGAGGTTAGGTAATTGCCTATGTTCCCAGAGCTACTAAATAGTAGAGCAAAAATTTGAACTCATATCCTCTGACCTGAAATCTATCACTCTTTCTACTGATCCATGCTTCTTCAAAAACCATTCTACAACAAATACAATTTTTTCAACAGAAACTAGATTACAGAATACACAGAACCATTGCATTTTTAGAATGACAATGTTACAAAGGACCTTAGAGGACATCAACCAAACTGAACTCTGCAGTCAGCAATAAACACAAAATTTGGATTTGAAATTCTTCATTGTGTGTGCTCATAGTACTTGCAGTGTTTGTAGTATCAGAGTAATCATCTCTATTCTCAAGACTCCAAACAAATAAGTACATTAATCATGGTAAAAATATCTGGAATCATAAATTAATTTATTAATCCCACAAAAATCTATTTAATCCCAAACATGTGCAAGAAAATGTGCCGGGCCTTGTGCATGATGGCACTCACTAGATGCTTACCCAAAAGTAAGATGTCTTTATAAATCATGGATCGCTTTGTGGCACCAAGTAACAAGTGCTCTCCTGCATGTGCTCTTAAAAGTGCAACCTTAATGAAAAAGACAAAGATTATAGTTATTAATTAATGTTATAATTTAGTATTTATACAGTACTTGATAGTTTATAAAGCATTTTACAGATAATTTGATCTTCAAAAAAAATCCTTTTCATTAGATGCTATTATTATTCCCATTTACAGATGAAGAAATAAGCTAAGAAAAGTACATTCACTTGCCCACAGTCACTCAGCTAGAACATGTGTGAGTTAGGCAGGTCTTCCTGACTCCAAATCCAACACTGTATTCAATATGCCATCTAGTTCCTTAATAATCATACTAAGTAACAAATAAAAATCTAATATAATAAGAAACTGATTAACTTACAGACTTCTGGGTTCCTGGCAGTTGTTTTAACTAACTAGAATAACCAAAATGTCCCAGCATTCTGGCCTTAAAATCAGGAACTTGGGGTTACCAATCTCCTAATAATAATCTTTTAATTTCTATTTTTTGTATTCATATTAGTCATCATTAATTCATATCTTTATCTACTTAGCAAACATTTATCAAGCACTCACCCTGTGTAAGTTATTGTGTGAGGTACAGGGCACAATGACTATAACTGGCTATCTAATAAATGCCACACACTTAATGAAGGAAAGCACAGTGTTTGTACATTAGTAAATGGAAGCTACTTCTAGGATTTGGCTTCATTTCTAAATTTAAAGAAAATTAATAAGTCATATATTTTATTTTCCTGTCCATGTATCAGAAATAATCAGCTTCTCAGGAGGGATATCAATGAAAAAAAAATACGACATATAAATGTTAAAATCCTGTTTGTGTTGTTTAGGTTATGATACTGGCATGTCTCAGCATTTTCACTATCTAAACTGTAACAAAACCTGTAGAACAAAGCTATCTTTATGACAGGTCAATAAATGTGACTCATACCAGGAAGGTAGTTAAGAGGAACATTTTAAAAAGCTTCCACATTTTTTAGTTCTCACCACTTGGTGAGAAGCTTTCTTCAAAATTTAAGTTAAACTTTCCATGCAAATTTATTTTTTAGTTGAGTAAATATATATATATTTTTACTTTTCTATGATTTTAAAGGATTTTAGAATCTTCCCTTTTTTTTTTTACTTCCTTAATTCTGGGCCACAAAGATAAAGATCATTTGTAAAGGGTGTGACATACTACCAGGGGATATCAAGTATAGGAGAATGAGGACAGCATAGATTTTTTTTTTAGCTATATCATGTAAGAGAAATGATTAACTTATTAGACACAAGATATGGAGGGTTTTTAAATGTATGTGAAACTAAATATCTCACTTGAATTGCTCAACAGATTTTATAAAACCATCACCTTCAGTTTAAAACCACTGAAAAACAGAGGAAAAATGTTTTCAAATTTGATACTTCTTACATTCTTTCTTTTCTGGAAGTTAAGTTAATATAATGACATCTTTAAAAGACTCATGCAAAAGCCAGTAAATCATTTACACCAATGAATACCAGGAAAGAAACATCTAAATGCTAGCAGAGCACAAGAAGAAGCATGTGCTGCCCACCCACTGGGTACTCACAAAGATCTGTGACAGTATCCTGAAGTGGGTTTTGCACCATGCTGACAAGTCTATTTGAGCTATCCTCATAGCTTAATAACTTGAGATCTACATTGAATATCGACATTTTGAGGACCTTTCCTTCCACTACCCATTTCTTCCTCACTGAGAACTAGAATACCTATAATATTTTGAAGAATTAAGTCAGAGGACATCAGAGCTGTTAAGTTACTTTAGAGATCATCTGGTTGAGTGCCTGCACATTGTAGATGGGGAAACCAAGTCACAGAGAAATTAAATGATTAATTTACCCATAGTCACACATTTGGTTGGAGGCAGAATCAGACTGGAAGTCTGGTATTGACCTAGTTCTCTTTCCATTCTACTCTGAGGCCTTCCCACACTAGTTATTTAAATAGAATCCCAAAATTGAAAGGCACTTCAGATGTCAGCTAATTCAACCTTCACCTGAAGCATGAATCTCCTCTATAACATTCCTGACAAGGGTCAACCAATTTTATTTGTGAAGCTCACTACATCTAGAGACTTAAAACAACCTCTAAGATTTCCTTTGCACAAGAAATTTCAGAGCTCCCCAAAGTGCACATTTTAAATTCTATAACATTCCTTTAAGAAGTTTTAACCCAAGTAATTCTTTAACTTACTAGGGAAAAAAAAAAAAAGGAATACCCAATATACCTCTGAGCCCTAGAAACAGCCAGTAGCAGCAATATTCAATGATTGCTTTATGAGTAGACACACACACACACACACTCCCCCTGCCCCCAAAATGTGCATTTAAAGTGATCAAATAACCATATATACATTTTCTCTAGGATCTCAGGAAAAAAGTAAATGTCTGTTTGTGAGCTCTAGGAAGTCTTTAAACCTCATCTGAAATAATAAAGACTGCTTGTCTATCCACCTGAATGAATAGAAACATTTTAACCCAACAATTCACGTGTGGTTTTCATGATTGGCTTAATGTATACCTGATCATCCAATGGTAACTCACAGAAAGCAGGGATATATTTAGCCCACTCCACCAGGACTAATAGTTGCTGCTTCATAGATTCGCAGACATCACCAATACTAGCAATTTTCTTAACATTTATGTCGGTATTTGCAGTGGGGCTTGAAACTGGAATCTAAGAAAAAGAAAAACATTCTATTCAGCACTTATATGAAATATTTTTAAACTCACTATTTTCATTTGCTAATCTTTGATTTAAGCAGAAGGCACTGAAGCTATAATCATCAAAATAAAAATACCTTGAAATTATGTAAAAGTTTGCTCTTTGCCTTCCCGTATAAGGTTGCTCAAAAGGGAAATTCAACTCAACAACAATGAATGAGAACCTACTACATACAAAGACTTATGTTACGTCTATGTTACGTCTATTGTGTTTATAAGGTTACTTGATACACGTAGTTCAGTTATTTTGCTGATAGTACGTATTTTGTTTTTTATGAGTTGACCTACTTATCCTTCTAGCTTCACTGCAATTAATTCCCTTCTCACACTCTGTTATCCATCTAACTAGGTTCCCTCTCTATTTTTTACACACACACACACACACACACACACACTCACACCTCCCATCTCCATCCTTTTGCAATGGTATTCCCTATGTCTGAAATGTATTCTCTCCTTCCTTTCCCTCTACCTCAGAGAATTCTCATCCTTTAAGAAGTAGATTAAATAACATTTTCTGGACAAAGCCTTTCCTGCTCTGCAAAACTCTTTCTCTGTGGAACCATCTTGCATTTAACTATTTTGCATTTATTCTCCTTAGATTTATTCCACTGTACTGACTTCATTGTTATATGCCTGTGAAACCTGGACAGTCTACTAGTGTCATGCCAGAAATCTGAATTCCTTTTGAATTGCTTCAGAAAGATTCTGAAGATTACCTGTCAAGATAGGGTACCCAATACTAAGGCCCTCACTTGTGCTGAACTGCCAAGCATTGAAACTCCGTTGCAGAGAGTACAACTCTGATGGACTGGCCATGAAGCCTCAATCAAATGGACGTTTACCTAAAAGACTATTTTACAGAGAATTCACACAAGGAACACTCTCATGGAGGCCAGAATAAGTGGTACAAGGACACCAAAGGTCTCTCTGAAGAACTTCGGTGTTGATTGTGAGACATGGGAGATGCTAGCATGGGACTCCACAGTATGGTATGCCCACATCAAAGAAGGTGCTGTGCTCCATGAGCAAAGCAGAATCACAGTGGCACAGAGGAAATGAGATACACAAATCTAGAGACATTCCCATCCCAAACGTTCAAAAGGACTATTTGTGCCCGACCTGTCATAAAGCCTTCCATGCTTGTATTTGTACTGATCAGCCTCAGTTGAACACACTGTACCTTGACCCTACCACCACGATGTTATTGATCCTCTTCAAGTACAAATGATGAACCGAACCACACAACATATTTAATCCATACTTAGTTAGATATGTAATTGTGGTCTCCCATATTAGAATGTAACCACTATACAAGTAAGGATTGTTTGATTTATTATTTGTATCCCCATGACCTAGCATAGTGCCTGAAACATAAGAGATGCTTAATTAATACTTGTTGATTGTTTGAGTACTTACTTTGCAATATTGGACATTTATAATTTGGGGGAAGGGATGACTTAGGCTACTCCTCATTCAAAACAGCTGTTTACCTAGACTTGTGGTCCAGGACCAGTTAAATGCTAAGTTTGCTTTCTGAATGAGGAAAAATAAAGTTTCATCTACAGAAATTCATTAACAATTGTTAAGGCTTGTGGAGAAAATGGTTTCAGTAGACAAACTGTATCAAAGTGACAAGTAAAGTTTTGGTAACAAAGTTAGGACAATCCACATCCAACGAAAGAACTATGGAAGTTGAATTTCTATTTTTTTTCTCTTCTGTTGAGTTTTGTGTTCTCTTTCTGATGGTTCCTCCTATTGGTTTTAATTTTTACTTACAACATCACTAATGTGAAAATATGTTTAATAGGAATGTAAATGTATAGCCTATATCAGATTGTGCACTGTCTTGGGGAGGGTGATGGGGAGGAAGGGGGAGAAAAATTTTAAACTCAAAGCATATGGAAGTGATTATTGATAAACTAAAATAAATTAATAAAATAAAAAAAGAAAGTTAGGACAGTAGTAATGCTGCTAGAAGCCTTGCAAATATAAACCAAGGACTTCATGTTTTATATAGGCAGCTTGGTGGAACAGTGAATAAAGTTCTAGACCTGGAGACATGATGACATGAGTTCAAATCCTAACTCAGACATTTAGTAGCTTTGTGACCTGGGTAAGTCACTTAACCACTGTCTGCTTAAGTTTCCTCATCTGTAAAATGGGGATAACAATAGTACCTCCCAAGATGGTTGTGAAGATCAAATGAAACAATATTTGTAAAGGGTTTTGTAAATATTAAAGCCAACGCTATGTTAAGAGTTTATGTCTGAAAGAGGAAGAACATTTCAACTCATTTAAATTTACAAATATTCATAAAATGTCTCCTAAATGTAAAGCACTTTCTGAGTCCTGTGGAAATAAAAGCTATACTAAACATAGTTAAAGATGTGATTAAGGTAGAGCAATTTAAACTTCTCCTAGGATACTGACATTTAAATGGTACAAAAATTTAATGACTGAGCTTAGTACTTAGAAAAATAATTGAAGAAAATAGTAAGGCACCAGTTATTTTTAATAATACCCACCTGGGAACCTGTACTGCAACTAATCCTCCCTCTTGTTTAACAAAATTCATCTTTAATGTATATTGCATTATTTTTACAACATTAATTATAAAGTTCAATTGGAGGAGCAATTCATGCTGATTATTCCAGGTGCCAAAATCATTAGTTATAACTTCAGACACAGGTTGTGCCTTAATGGAGCTCACTGTGTTTGAGAGGGTGATAAGACAGCTAATTATAGGAAAAAATGAGTGGTAGAGTTCAATTTAATTCAATAATTATTTATTGAAAACCTACTACATTCCAGGTAGTATATAGCATTGTGATTCTGAGAGCTGGCCTTGCAAGCACTGGCCTCCTTGCTATTCCTCAAGCAAGAAACTCCATCTCTTGCCCTCCTAGTATTTTCATTTTTTTTTTCTTTTTTGACAAGGCAATTGGAGATAAGTGACTTGCCCAAAGTCACACAGCTAGTGAGTATCATGTGTCTGAGGTCAGATTTGAACTCAGGCCCTCCTGACTCCAGGGCCAGTGCTCTATTCACTGTGCCACCTAGCTTCCCCCCTCCTAGTATTTTCACTGGCTGTCCCCCCTTGTCTAAATACTCCCCTTCTTCATCTCTGCATCCCGAATTCTCTGGCTTCCTTCAAGTCTCAGCTAAAATCTTGTCCTACAAGAAGCCTTTCCTGATCTCCCTTAGTTCTAGTGTCTTCTCTCTATTGATTATCTCCAATTTATATATCTTGTTCATACATAGCTGTTTTCATCTTGTCTCCCCCATTACACTGAGCTCTTTGAGAGCAGGGATTATCTTGTGCCTTTCTTTGTATTCCCAGGCCTTAGCACAGTGTCTCAAAGAACTTAATAAATATATCTAAAATAATCTAGTAAAATGCAAAACTTGTAATCTGAAGTTCTGAGCTTGTGAAAATAATTACTTTATAGGTAATATACTTGTGTATGGTCAATGGTTACTCTTTTTAATCTATAACTGGGAATAAAAAGTGTCTCAAGACAGATGTTTCATTCTAGAGAGTCCAAGTCATAGAATGCAAAGGCAAGATTGACCCTATCCTAGATTTCTGAGAACTATTTCCTGATGGATGAACCTTTTTTTGAATTTCTCATCCTACTTAAGTTAGAAACTAATATTACTGAATTTAGCAGGCTAAATAAATATAGAAGATAGGAGTCAAAGTTGGCAATACTATGTATATTTATGAAAACAAAGGCATGGATTTACCCAGAGTCCTTTCAGTCACAAACAAAATAACAATTATAAGACTTCCAGGAAAATTTCTCCCCAAATTCATGAGCCATTAAAAAGAACCTTCTTTCTTTCTTTCAATTGATTCACTAAGGAACTATTTTTTTTAAAGCATTAATAACTCACTCATCTTCAGGATAATAATCACCAGAAGAGAGCCCAGCTGATTTTCATTCCTCAACCCCACACAGATAAGATTCAGAACTTAAAAGAAGACCAAAGAATTTATGAAGAAAAATCCATACAAAATCATGGTCAAGCTCTCAATCAGAAATCAGCATATTATACCCCAAGAAGGCCTAAGTGTCCAAACTGATTAGTCAGTTTGAATTTCTTTCTACCCTCACCCCCTTCTAAATCAAGACAAGCAGGATAGAAAACCAATGCCCTCACCTGGGACTGGGACTGTGCCTTGGTATATCATCCCTTGTACCTTCCACCTCCCCTCCCCTACTCCAGCTCCTGAGAATGCTAGACTTTAGAACTCTAGATTTTCCCTGGTTTCATCATGACCGACCAGCAACTGGACACCAAAATAAATCCAAATATGTTTATATTGAGTGATTCCTTCAAATCTGGAACTGTGTCCTCGAATAAAGAACCTTAATCCTCGCAAAACTCCAGACCCATGACATCAAGCTTATATCTGGCCCACTCCTCCACCTTCCAAATGAAACATTTTCAAGGAGATAGAGCACTTGTCTCCTTCAAATAGGATGAGGGTGACATGTATCTAGCACGTACCTGACGAGAAAGAGCTTCAGCTTGTGCCAATGTATTAATAGAGGGAATGTTGCTGCCTTCAAAGTTATTTCTCCTTGTGCTTATCCTGTCTCGTTCATTTTGCACAGCTAGAATGCAATAAGCATATGATTTAATTACTTGAAATCCATGTGCATGAAAATATGTGTCAGGGATATGGGATTTGGAAATAATAATAGCTTACTCTTATGCAATATTGTAAAGTTTACATAGTCTGCATTATCTCATTTGATTCTAAAGCAACATTAGGGAACAGATAATTTATTTTCCCCATTTTACAGAAAAGGAAACTGAAACTCAGACAGGTTAACTTACTTGTCCAAAATCACAAAGTTAGTCAGGAGTAGAGCATGAATTTGGAGCAAGATCTTCAGATTAGAAGTTGATCTCTTTTTCCCAATACCACATTGCTACTAGACCTAAGCGGTTGAGAGCCCTGAGAAAGGCAACCCTGAGAAGTGGGAAGGTATGATTTATGTTCTTTGAGCTAGAATTTGTCATTTTAAAAAAGTAATAACAGACAGCCTTGTCTCTAGAGATAATGAAACACTGGGATTTAAGGTGTTTCATGTTACCACACACTGCAGAAAATGTTGGGTCAGCCAATTCTGCCCTGCTATATTTTGAATAGTCTGCATTCTACTCTAAGTTAATAAAACTATAAGATAACTAGAGAAAGGGAATTGTCTGTGATGCTGACTAGGTCAAGGAATAGAACATATTCATTGTCAGAAGATGTGAGTCATGGAAATTCTAAAATGTCTTTTCTTCCTGTGAAAAGCAGTAGAGCAAGAATAGGAAATAAACTAAATCGATTCTTATGGTGATTTTAAGACTATAATCTTGTGGTTCTCGTGGGGACCCTGAATTCTTGAAGAGTTTACTAAACATTAGTGAAGAAAAAAGTTTCAAGCAGGTGCCTTTTTCCCCTCTAGACTCCAGAAGGGTAGAGAAAAAAGGGTTCTTGAAAGGTAAGGAATCTCAGTGACTATACTTGGATCTCCCGAGAGAAACCAAGCTTACTTCATTTATCTGGGGAGAGGGGAAGACAAATTATATAAAATTACATTTCCCATAACTGCTTATCCAGATTTAGGCAAAGAAGGAGAAAGAAGCATGACCACATGTAGGTCTTATATGAGTCTTGGTATCTTTTAGGTGCAGTGTACACAGTCACATCTACTCTATGCAGTCCCCAAGCAGGCTTTCACTTGAATCACCTAAATAAGTGATTTTGGAGACTTGAGTTACCTAGATTGACTACACTACAGATAGATAGAGGGTAGATGAGACAGAGATAGACAGATAGACAGACAGCCATACATAAAGAGGCAGACACCCTTTGCTGTGGAGATCTAGTATTATATAGTGAAGTAAGTAAACTTACTTCATAGAAGAATTTAGAAGAAGCCTGACCAATACTACTCCTTAGCATAACATAGTAAAGAGAGCATTAGCTCAGCAATTAGAAGGCCTGAGTTTGAATCTTCATCCTGCTACTTATTGGGCAAGTTCCTTAACTTATCTGGGTTACAGCCTCCTTATCTGTCAGATTAGATAATCACTGAGATTCCTTACAACTCTGCATTCCATGATATATTAATTATCAGTTATGTGAGCTTTGGAGGGAACCCATGGTTCTTAAGAGGCCACCTTTTATACTAGAAAGACTCTAAAGTTTTATTATTGTTAAAGAATATTTACTGGTAGATTCCAGCTTTTCTTTTTCTCCTCAAGGACTTCTTAATTTGCAGAGGGAAATGTTTATGTAAAAGGATAAATAAAAAGTTGGATGATGACATTCTCAGTTTCCTTTCAGAGTAATCATTAGATAAAAATGTTAAAAATATAATATTGTGGAAAACTATTCAATCTTCTTCCATCTTCTGATTTAATTCCTGACCACCTTATGTTTTCATAAAATTATTTTCATATAACTCTATAGAAAATGTTAAGCATATCTACTTTTAAAACCTCATTGGAATTAATACTTAAATAGTAATTCTGGGTAAAGGCTAGGATTTCTATATTATTGTAACACAAAAGCAACTATTTCCATTTCACATGTTCTTAACATGCAATTAAATACACACATAATATATATGTACATTAAAAAGTCAAGTGCTTCAACTCTTTTTTTTTGAAACCAACCTGAAGAATTAAGTTTGGTGGTAAGGCTGGATGGGAATCATTCACAAAGTCACCAGTTAATCTTATAAGCTAGTAAGAATGACGTTTTAGAAAGACTTTTGAGGAAAAAAACTGCGTGCAGAAGAATATTATTACTGAAGGTTATATGCTTTTAGTTTTCTACCTTCTTTTTTGTGGGAGGTGCATCGTGCTCTTCAAAATTAAATAAAATTTGAGAAATTTAAACAAAGTCACAGGAATAGAAAAATGGGTGTATAAGGATTTTCACTGGCAAATTTATCACTTTGGGGTGGAAATTCTTTGGTTAAGTGCTTCATATAAGAGCCTTGCTCTTGTGTATGATATACATGCTGTGAAACTGATAGACAGAAAATATTGTTCCTATGATGGGTTTACAAATGCTCTGATTTTATTTAACACATAACACGTATAACACATAGGTTATACATAACCTACTTAGAATATAGGAAAATACGTCAGACAGATAATTTTTAATGTATTATTTAAAGTGAACTGTATGATATCTTTATTTAAAATAAAGAAATACAAGATTCATTTTTTTAGAAGCATGTTAGTAAATTCAATATAACTTACAGATAGTTATTTTGTCTTTTCTTTTCCTAACACTAAATTTCAGATCTCGTTTGGGCAATGATTATGTTGTTAGGCATATTCTGACAAAAGAAACATTACCTTCTTTCTTCATTCCTGCTCGAAAACACTTTTTTAAACGACAATATCTACATTGATTCCTCTTGTCTTTGTCAACAACGCACTGTCGGCTGAACCTATTTCATCAAGAGAAAGATGATAAATTATTTATCCTTCTGTTAAGTTCTATGTAATAAGAGAAGTAAACTAATAAGACTATTGTGTGTGTATAAATATATATACATGTATAGCATAGACATATAAATGAATATTAAAATTAAACATGTTAAATATTTTATTAAATTTATATATAGTATACTCATATATAGTAAAAACTGTGTTCATAGATGCATAATGAAATGGGATACAATGAAAAGACCTAGTCATTCCTATTAACTGTGACCTATATATAGAATACCATGACCACCTCAGACCTGGAAAATATAAGTCCCAACCTTAATGGAGCCATTATAATAAGTTATAACCATCCCATTGTTTATATATTTATTGCCATATAGACATGATAATAGCCAGCATGAGTCATTAAAAGCCTTAAGCTTCCTCTGCCATGATACTGGTAGAACACAGAGGATCCAGCATCACACAGGGCAAAGGAGCAGTGTTGAAGAACAAGCAGTGGACTGGGAATAAAAATTCTTACTTCAAGTTTTGCCTCTGATTCTCATTATGTCAGTGGTGTGATGATGGATAAACCACTTAACTTCACTGAAGTTATTTGTGAGAATGTAGTATACAAATATATGTTTATATGTGTGTGTGTATATATATATATGTGTATATATATATATGTTATTCTCATTCATCTAATCTTATTTATTTAATTAATTACAAATCAAAAGATGTTAAAAACAACTTAAAGAAAGTTTAATTTAAATGTAAAAGTATAAGTGTGCTTTATCATAATATTTTGAAGTGGTCGTCTTCATAATTGTTTTTCCTCCATAACATCATTAATTATTTCCCATCAGAGTAAGCATATATTCTTATATTCTAGAGCTCAAAAAAATTGCCACTTAAAATAAAAATGGTTTGAGACCAAGAGGTAAAGGTATTATAAAGCAATTCAAGAAAATAAAGTTGGCTTTCTCTCAGGCCAGGAAGAAAAAGCTGTTTAATTCAATTAGGTGATATCTTTAATAAGATCAAAAAGCATCTATAAATAAGGAAATTCAGGTGAGCAAAATTCCAGGTGACCAATAATACTGACTAGAGAAAGAGACAAATAAACATTCTTGCCAATCTAGAAGTGTCACAATATTGATGGCGGGACTAGAGTTTAAAGTAGAAAGCTAAGGAAATGAATTTAAAATAAGCACCAATTAATTCTTAAATTTTTCAAATATTTTCTGTGTCTCACAACCCTTGTTCATTAAAAATGAAGGCCCAAACCCTAAAGTGAATGAAAGTGTAGAATTTGCCAATTTCAAAAGTCATCGTTTTTTCAAAAAAAAATTATTTCTTCTATGGACAGCAAGAATTAATGGTTTCACAAATAGGGAATATGCCTTTACTACTGAAATTCACTACAGTAACCCCAACCCCCCTTTTTAGAGCAAATAGATAAACTTCTGCTAATTGTGTGCTTCTCTTGCCCTTTCCTGATGTTTAAGAATTGTTGCAATCCCAATGGTCCAAAGAGGTATATTTCAGCTTCTACAATAGATACCTTCCTAAGAAGTTGGTTATGACTTAGGGGAGGGGGATGCTAAAATTAATCACATTTTACATTTATTAGGATAATTTTATTTTTAAAGTGATCCTGTGATAAATTAAGTAATAACTCTAAAATTTTTCAGCTCTTCAAATCTAAATTGTCAGATATGAGGTAGAATTAAATGGAAAGTATTTTTAATTAAGCAAACTTTTAAATGTGAGAAAAGTTTCATTTTTAAATGTTATGACATTTGAAATACTGTGGCAGAACTCTTAGTAATTTTTTTTGAGAACTGGATATTAAGAGATTTAAGGGATTAATGTAGTATCATGGTGAATGGTACCAAAGCAAAATGAAACTTTCAATTTCTTTGAAAGCATTTGATTGGTTCTCAAGGGGGGCATAATCATTTTGAACCTGCCTTTCATCAGCAAGGGAAACACAGCACATTTTTCCCATTCAGATCTCTTTTTAAATGGCACATATTTATACAACATAAATGCAACATACATGCAAGACCTGGTTTAACTCTATTACTGTGATAATTTAATAGATGAAATAGGATTAATAGTTCACCTTAACATAGCAGTTTTGTTTTTCTCACAAAACTCCTGTGAGGTAGGTAACATGAATATTATTGTCTTTGCTTTACAAAGGACACTAAGAGCTAGATAGATTAAAGACATATTCTAGACCTATGGGGGGGTGAGGGTGGGGAAAGGGTAAGAGTCTTATTATTCTTTCCACAACAATAGACTTCTCACATACAAGAAAAACGTAACAAATCTCAGAGTTACATAAGATTTTTGAAAATTGGCCTATGAATTCTGTTTCCTATAGTCACAGTCTAATACGAATAACATCAATTTGCTTGAGGAAGAAGTATGGCAGAGGAGATTAATTTTACCGTTCAGTGCTAAAATTTAGCATTTTTCCTGAACTAGTACTAACAAACACAGGAGTATTATATACCTTTACATCGTACTTAGAAAAAGCTACTGTTTGCTTGTGTATGCAAACTATATGACTCATTGTCATAAAAGTGTTTCTGATATAAACCAAGGAACCTGGAGTTCATCTAGTATATTGCTATGTTAAAGTTAATTCTGCAAAACGGGACATTTCAAGTACCTGCAGGAATAAACATGACTCTTTCGAATACTCCGTCTGAAGAAACCTTTGCACCCATCACAACTTGAGGCACCATAGTGCTTTCCAGTTGCCCGATCTCCACATATGGCACAAAGACTGTTGACCCCGTTGTCTGGAGTATTCATGCTGTTTTGTTCAGTGGCAGAACTGTCTTGTAGGGGGAAAAATGACATACTCTCATTGAAGTTCATTGCTTATATTGATTTCTTCAGTAAATTTATCTCACATGTTCTTCACTTTTTAACCAATTGGGGTCTACTAAGAATTCAGAGCTATTTAATGAAGATAACAATAAACCAGCAAATCACATAGTTTTGGAGCTGGGAAAAGCCTTGGAGATTTCCTTTCCAAGTCTTTCATTTTGTATATAGTGAAAGTAAAGCCTAGACTAGTTCAGTGACTATTCCAAGGTCACACAATAAGTTAGAAACAATTGGAATTAGAACCCAGGATTCTCAGCTCTCACTCCACTGTTCGATACACTGTTCTATATTGCATACCTAAAATCGTTTTTAAAGAAAAAACTTCTGATGAACATATAAGACCATATATTGTTCACGATATTTTTTTGTCTAAAGTTGCTTTGGAACCTAAAAAAAAGTAATAGTAGAAAAATTTAGAACATTAGAAATTAGACATTTCCAAACATGTTCTCCACAACCTCATAAGCACTTATTCTTTTTTCGTCTAGAATATTCTGATAATGTCTTATGGTATGGCTTGTGAGAGTAAGAAAATGAAGCATTTTATTGACTATTAGGAAATATCTATTATTTATTGTGACTATATATATTTTCTTTTCTTTAGAGATGAAAAACTACAGAAGTTAGATATAAATGTTTTCATTGTAGCTGTTGCTAAATAATCCCATGTAGATTATAGTATCATGTACATTATATATCACTACATGTCTTGACTCATAGGTAAGTAAGGAATTACAATTTAAATGAAGAACTTTAGTACATGCTTATTTAAGCCACGTCATTTTCCTTGCTGAAAACAAACAAATGAACAGAATTCCTCAGTGAAGAAAAAAGTCTTTTAGAAAAAAAAATTACTTGAGGAAATCATGTTTAAAAGAACATAAATTTTGGAACATCAATTTATGTATGGTACTAGATTCTCAATTACGTAATCTTATGGTATGCTGAAATATTATGAATGACTGGGTATAACCACCTTCATCAACCTTGAATTCCACACACATAACCACAAATACTATCATACAACCTCATAAATTATAACTAGTTAATACAGTTAACATAATTATAATTTTAAAACCCTTGTCAACAGGATTGTTTATCTGATAAAACATACTATCAATTTAAAAGATAATGGCAAACTAAATTTCACAAAGACATTTACCATTAGTAACTGCAATCTGATTTAAAGTTAAAATGTTACACTGGAAAAATACCAAGAGCTTCTTTTGGCTAAATATTAGCTTCTAAGGGCCATTCTGATAAAGATTTTAATCCCTTCCATATTATTGATCTATAGAAAAAAAGTAAATTGCCTATTTATGTGTATAGTATTTTCTCATTAACAGAAAATAAGACTTCTAAGGATGATAACTAATGGGACCAGACAATCAGCAAAAATTTCCGCAATATCTATGAAACTTTGTTTTACCTATAATGTCTAATATTGCCCCCCAAATATTAAGTGATAGCCAATAATTATTACTTCTTGCTATAACTAAGTCAACTAAATAGCTGCTGCAAACCTCTTCTCCCTATCCACATCTAACTAGCTTATGATAGTTAACTGTAGTTACTTTATTACCTTGACCAAGAATTTTCTTTTTCAAATAAGCCTAGCCTTAATGCTGTTAACTTTGATTTTGTGATGAAATGTAAAGATCCTGATTTGTTGCTATAAAAGCAGTTCCCACATTCTCCACTAATACAACATGCCACTACCAAGTTGTTTCACCCACTTTACCTTTTCCTATTAGCGTCTTTTTTTATGGCACATCAACAAGTAGATGAGAACTTACCATTTGAATTGTAGAGAATCTGCATAGTTTCAAACTCCAAAGTAGTATAAGTTGGGTCTAAGACTTCGCTGTAGTTTGCTATATCCATGTCCAGAATTGGTTCTGATCCCCTCATCATTGAACTGGGAAAACCACAAACAAGTGGCCCAGGAGCTCCAGGGTAGGTAGTGTGAGATGCCTGTTTTGCTTGCAATCCGTGATTGATCATCCAAAGTTAACTGTAACTTAGTGACTTATGTGCTACAATGGGAGGAGCTGTAAAACTGTAAACTGTTTCTGCTAGGCATGTTCTGCTTGTTGGTTTTTTTTTTCCCGTTCTTTTATGGTCTATGAAAGCAATTTCTTGTGATAATCTTGGAATGTTTCATGGAACAACAGCCCTTATCAGAAATACTTAGTGGACCAGCAAGATTTCTTAATTGATTTATAGCAAAAGATAACTGATGTCATTGACAGAGAGGTTGAAAAAAATAACTTTGGGGGTTTGAAACTGCAATTTGAAATTGCATTAAAAAAATTCTGAAATTAACCTAACTGGTGCTGGAGAAGGAGGTGAAACTTGATAATAATTATAAATGTCCTTATTCATATCATATTTAAATCTAAGAAATACTTTTAGGGTTATTGAGGCCCTCGGATAAGGTTAACTGTCTATGACTCAAACTGAGCTTAAAACATCATGATTCTCTTGCCAGGTATAAAGCCCAGGATCAAATGTCCCCACTTACAAAGTGAGGATAATGGTTTTTAGGCTTGTAGAAAAGGATTTGAGATTTTAAATGAAAGGAATTTTGTGGTGTAAATGCTATATTTATATGTGTTGATCTAAGATGCCATGATCATCATCATGAGAAGCAACATGGAAGAGAAGAAAATGGATTGGATTTGGAGTCAAAGGACATGGGTTCAAATCATGCTGTATTAGTATTTAAATCACCTTAAATATGTTACTTAAGGTCTATGTACCCCAGTTTACATAGGTAAAATGAGGGGGTTGGTGTATACGGCATATAAGGTCCCGAAGAGATCTAATATATTATTTTATGATACAAATGAATTATATTTTCACAGAAATTCAAAGTTTTAACTGTTTCATATTTATGGAACAGAGTACAGAAGAATAATGGAGACTTTCAGGACCATCTCTAGTTCAGCATATATAAAATCTACAAGACTAATAACAATAGGTTATACTTATTTTTGTTCAATACAATTCAAATTAATGAAGATTTTAATTGCCTAAGAAAAGTTAGGTTCTGTTTTTGGGCAATGGGGATACAACGACAAAACAAAAAACAGTCCTGGACCTCAAAGAGCTGATGTACATCAAAGTGAGGTAAATTTTAACAAATATTTTATTAATTTGTTAGATTGGTCAGCACTTCAACTGTCTTTCTTAAGTTGCCTTGTGCCATGAAATGAAAATACTACACATTGTTCCTTCCACTAAAAGATTTTTTTTTTTAGTACTACCTTAATTCTGGTGGCAATCTTTCAATTCAAATTCATAATTCAATTCAATTCAAAGGCATAAGACTTCTTTTTAAAACCAGTATAAATAAAAGTCTGCTAGATATGGAGAGATTTTAAAAGTTCTTATTCTTTCTTGGTGTTTTAATGAATTCCATTGCCCTTATCTATTAAACAGAAGGCAATCCAGAAAATGTGAATATGGTATAACAACTCACAATAGCAATAATGTCAAGTACTTTTTGTGATGCTTAGGTATAAAAATACAGTCCTGATGTTAAATAGACCTCATAACTTCACAATTGATCAGGCATTTTGAAACCCAAGAATTTTTTTTTTAAAGAGCTAAAAGGGACTCTTAAGAGAGCAAATTTAATCCCTTCAATTTTTTAAATAAAGAAACCTGGACCTGGAAAAATCCAATGACCTTTCCAAATGCAGACAGCCAATATTTAGAAAGGCTGGAAACAGACTCAGTTATTCCAAATCCTAAAGCAGTGCTCTTCCCACTGTATGTCCTACAATACTTAGGAATTGCATTACATCCATTTTTAGGGGAGTTTGCATTATTACATACATTTTAATGTTTCCATTTGAGTTAATACTAATATTACTTATATTTCTTCTTTCAATTTGATTCTTCCTTCCTCTCACTGAACTCAGTAAGATTCACTTCAGAATATTTTTGTATACCAGAAGAGAAAATGAAAGAATAGAATACAACATTCAGAAAGCTTACAGTTTTACAACACGTCCTCCTGCAGCACATAAGTTATTCAGTTACAGTTAACTTTGGATTATTAAGAACAGACTGTAAGCAAAACAGATATCACATGCCACTTTAGATCCACTAGGCCACTTGCTTGTGAATGTCTCAATTCAATGATCAGGGTATCAGAACTACCTATGGACATGAAGATGATAAACTACAATGAAGTCTTAGACTCAGTTGATACTACTTTAGAATAGTTATCTTTTACATGTATATCTATCTCCCAACTGGAAGTTCTAATGGTTACATTTCATTACAAAAACATTTTAAGAATTATTTAACAAGTATTTTCTATCCCTTTCAGCTTAAAATGAGAATATAATCCAATGTAGAAATGTCAGAAATTATTCCAAAACCTATCTGGATGATAGTATTTCAGAAAATTTCAAAATGAAAAAAACCAGCAAAAAAAATCAAAATAAAACAAACAACCAAAAAACCAAACCTGGTATTATCTAATTATAAACATTCACTTAGGCTCAACATGTCCAAAGTTTTAATCATCCTCCTTTCCCTAAAACTGGCCTTTCTTCAATTTTTCCATTCTTTCTCACAGACCTACCATTCCCCATATCACCTCAAGCTCCAAATGGTAGAGTTATATTTGACTACTTCTTCTATTTTACTCCACAAATAGAATCAGTTGCCAAGTCCTATTGATTCTACACTTACAGTATGTCTCACATCAAATTTTCATCCTAATTGTGGAACTCATCACCTCCCACCTAGACTATTAAAATAACCTCCCATATGTTCTCCACTATTTTAACTTCTTTTTCTCTTAAATATTTCTTTCCCAGTTACCAAAAGATTTTCTTAAGGCACAGTATGTTGCCTTGCCACTTCTACTCAAAAACCCTCAGTGGCTACCTATTGCCAACAAAATAAAATGAAAACTCTACAGCTTGAA